GACACAGACAGCCAAGGTCTCCAAAAACCCTGGATTTTTCTTTTTTAACTATTTTGACCTATTATTTAATACTCAGTGTTTATTATTTTTAAGCATTTTTGTTGCCCACTACTAAAGCAAATTTCACCACTCCAAAAATCAACATCTCACACTGCAGATGCTTCCCGCTCTTAGGAGTTACATTCTTGATTAGTACTGTTGTTGCATCTTAGCCAGCTGTAAAATCAGTACTTTAAAAGGCTCTTTGGATTTGTCTTGGATTTGCTCACTTTGAATGTTTTGCAGGCATCTTCTCTCTGAGTAACATTATTGGTGTGGATTACTCCTTCCAGAGCCTCTTGATCCAATTCTGGTGGATATTCTGTTCCATCTCCCAGAGCTATCGCTTCTTGCTCACAGCTTTCCACTTAGTGCTGGGTCTCACTCACAGGGAGAGCTCCAGGATAAACTTGAGACTCATTTTGTATTTTGTTGATCAATAACAAAAAAGTCGTTTCAGCCTAACACAAAATGTCAGATGGAACAGGCTAAAGCAAAGCAAACAACTGCCCATCTAAATGCTAATCTACATGGGACATTTCCCAGCCCTTTGAGTACTGTGTTCCGCTAACAGGTCAGGTTTGAGGGACTGGAAAAAGGTCATGAGATAAACAGCTTTAGCTGAGGGGAAAAAAAATCTCTCACTCCACAAGTTTTAAAGGGTTTGATAAAATAAATGCTCTTTCTAAACTTTCCATGCTCACCAGGCAGGACTTTTGCATTAACTATGCAAAACATCCTTGTGGTTCGCACGTCTGAAGGGGCTCTCATCTGCCATTATTCATCCTTTTGAAGCTGTAACATCTTTTTTTTCTGCCTAATATACATTCTAGCAATTTTGTCCGAAACAAATTATCTCGATTGCACACTGGCTCAGCATGACACGTTCCTTTAAAGTAACAAGAGATTATCAGTTTATCCTGGGGAACGCCTTTCCTGCCCCCGTGCTTAGTATCAGCGTAGTGATAAAACCCTCTTAAAATAGTTCTAGGACCCAGGCAACAATCAATTGTGTGCAATATTCTTTCAATTTTTATTTAGCAAGGACTTTAGTGCTTCCAGGGCTCTGAAGGCCAGGAATGAATGGTAGATTTAGGCTGAATTATTCCTGCCTTTGAAAGTTACAGCAGCCTGTACATAATGTCCTATCTTGACATCAACAGCCAAACTATTTGGAACGTTAAACTGCTGTTTGACTTCCTGAATAAAAAGTATTAGAAGAAAATACATTTAAAACCCCCACACAGTGCAATTTAAAACTGTGTAAACAAGGACTTCAAAACAACAAAACAAGAAACCAGTATCTATTGTCTCTGTAACACATTTCCCACAGAGATGGGGAACTTTTTGCTAATACTAAAGCAGTTGCTGGATTTCACAATCTTTGATGAATGACAATAACTGCTCAGAATTAGAGACAAACACGCCTTGCAGAGCCACAGTTTCTTACCTCCCTAAAGCAGAACTACCCCAACCAACAAGACATTTTCACAACATTTCAGCAGCAGCGTTTTAACAACAGCAGCAGAAGTAATTTGTTCCCTGCCTACCTCCTCAGAAGCTGCAGTTCCTCTTCAGCGGTGTAGGAACCCTACATACAACAGCATGAGCACCTCTAGCACGGCTAAGAAGGCTTCACCCCTCGTTCCAAACCCTTCAAGCCTTGGCAGGTTCAATGGGTAATTTTTTAATCACGGTTATTATTATTACTTGCAGGAATCCCACCAGATGGCAGCAGCATGTCTCCCCAGCAAAACAGGAGCACTTCTGCAAAGGACAGCTCCTTATTCTCAGAATACACACACGAGACTTCAAAAAAATCAGCTGTAAAGTCTGAAACGTGGGGCACAGAGTTTATGGCTGGAACTCAAATCTGGGTCTTTTTCAGCACTTTTAGAACACACTCATTAACGTGAAGCAGAGAATGCCTGAAGAGCAAATCGCTGTTTTCAGCCAATGAGGGACCCAACGTGGTTCATGGTGAGGTGCCAAACCAGGGTGCAGTTAAGCAAATCTGCAGGACCTGGGGAAGGCACCGAGACACCTTGTCCTGCTTCAGCAACTGCCCCCAACTGTCCCAGCTGAGAAGCACCAAGATCTGATGTTAACATGCACACCTCTATGTTAACGCAAATGAAAACGGGTAAATACAGCAATTTAATGCTGATTGATCAAGAGAGTCTTTCCTGCTTTGCCAGCTTGGGTTAAGTTCACTTTAAGAGCTACATGGATTCAAAGGAGTTAATGTGCCAATGGGAGCTGATTTCAAATGTTAACGGTGATGAGATGAGCAAGGGCACAGTCTGTGTGTACAAACACCAGCAGTACAAGCCTGCATGAGTTAATAATGAAAATGCTGAAGCACGATGCTTTGGCTCTTCACGAGTGAGAAACTCCAGCAGCACATTAGCTGCCCCAAAACATCATAAAGTACCGGACAAACGAACTAATGACAAATGCTAATTCAACTGCCAAGTCACAGTCTCAGTAAGCGAACGGGAAACTCAATACCACACGCCTCTGATTACTTCTTTGACGAGCTAAACTTCACTGCAGGGTGAGTTGTGTCTTTCTAGACAATGCAGTGACACATCCGAGCAGCGAGATGAAAGACTGCTTCTTCAAATACTCAAACTGTCTGCAGAATAACATCCATCTCCCTCAGAAGCACAGATAGGAACTTCTCAGTTATCTATTAGCACAAATACATGCTCAGGAAGAGACAGACAAGCAACAGAATCCTTATTCACAATCAGCTTAGGCCTTATGCTTCTCAAAATTCTATGTTACACTTGTACCAAAGCATACATTTTTCATGTCTAAGTCAATTTAAACTATAAATACCCAAATCGATGTTTCTGTTCGGTTGCATTATCTCATGTAGCTACAATTAAATTACACAGGCATTCTTTCATGTTTTGAATTACATCAAAAATTCAGTTTAATTATTGCTTACAGACTCCTGCACGCAGCCTGCATTCACCCACAGAAGTTAATATGAAATGCCAGAGCCTAGCAGTGACCACTGAGTTCAAACATAGGTGAGCAAAGAGAAACTCATCTCAACCGGTTACCTTCTCAGCCTGCAGCCTCGCAACCGTGCCGAAGGGGAGCCACCTCCAAGCTTCTGCTTTTATTTCACTTAACACCCTCCCCTTTCTTCCCCCCTCAAGCTGCAGTACAAGCCGCAGTCACAACTTTGCAAGCACGGTCCCACCAGTGGCAATCCCTGCTGGAGTGGAGGCAGGGCACGGGCACGGGGCTCGGATGGGTGAACACTTTTGGTACCCGGTGTCAGTCAGGAGCAAACCCTTCTTTCCACACTTTTTTTTTCCCCTCGGCATTCTTAATGACATTATATTTAAATATAAATATATATAAATATTTAAATAGGCATCTAAATCACCTTTTATTCTACTGAATGTTATGAAAGCAGATCTTGCTCTGTACCTTATTTTTTGGCAAACAGAACTGACAAAATAAAGACCTAGGAAATCCATACTGGTAAACCACACGACAGCAAGGGCTGATCTTACATAACAAGCTAAATTTAAGCAAGCCTGCAACAATTAAGTTAAAAAAACTCCACACTTTATCCAAAAAATATCTGAACAGATGGAAATTTCTTCAGATAATTTCTTACAGCAGATTCCTTGTCAGGTTTCATTCTTTTCTATCAACTTCTTAATACCGCACCGTAGCACGAACACGGCGGAAGTACCTGTGCAACAGCACCCCTGCGACCCTGGAAGCTTTGCATTTAAATTAACCCCCAGGGCCTTCTACATTAAGGAACAGAAGATCAACCACAACATTAACCTACCCCTGCTCTGTGCGGCTTGTTCAGCCTTCTTAGGGAACACGAGTTTATTACAGCACGATCTGGTTACGAGTGAGCAGCATTAAGTGCTGGGATGGAGGAATATCGTGTCCTGCTCTTCCGAGGCCTGTCCTGCAAAGCACTCTGCCACCATATGCTGGCACAGGCTGCAAGCCCCGTCACTTAACACCTCTCCCTCAGTAGGATTACAGCTCGGGCTGTACCTAAAGCAAAGCTCCTCGAGCACCACAGAACGTCGCAGGGACCGAGCGCTGTGGAAAGTTCTGCAGGGACACAACAGACAGTGGAACAGTTCAAACTTTGTGTTTGCGGTACAGGAAGTGTGCTGCAACACGCCTGCTCTCAACACCAGCACCGAGGCAGCTTCCATGCTCCTAATGAACGTGTCGGAACACCGTAAACTGACAGCCATTTATAAAGAATGGAGAGAGAGAGAAATAAATCACATCTGTTTTGCTTCAGCGATCGGGAAGGGCAATAATTACATACACTGCATCAAAGTGGTCACAGAATACAGTACAAAAGAGTATGCTCCACTGAGAGAACCCTCTGAAGCAGGAAGGGGAACACAAGGACTGCAGGCAGTGCTACCGTGAGACGGAAAAAGCCCATTTACATTTATGAGAAGAGAGCAAAGTTCAGACATTCTGATTCAGGTAGCACACAGCACGCTACCGCAGGTCAAACAGTCTCCTAGACAAAGATCTTGACAGGTGACTGAAGAAGGAAGACATTTTCATACGCTTCCACTTCCTAACTCTTAAGTCAGGTCACATCATATATTCTAATGCTCATTTGTTAACCTGAAATTTTAGGAAGCACAGCTTAGCTACGCAGAATGCATATTCTAATGAAACGTATAAGAAGTGCACGTTGCATTTGTCTTAGAGGAGAATGGTGGCGTGGCCTGTTAGTCAGAGGTTGCTCTTCACCACTCTAAACCTCCTTCTGCCTACAAAACCAAGTGAAGCCAACTTTCTAAGAACAGGAAAAACCCAGTGAAAACTGTAGTAAGCAGCTTTCTGGTATTCTGATTCAAATGACAAAGCCAAGGATGAATTATGATCTGGTAAAAAATGAAAAGGAACAAATCGGTTTGGTTTTTGTTTTCTTTACTCACCAGACAACCCCAAAGGCTCCATATCCAATAGGTCTGTCCGGCTCAATGTCCAGTTGCTGCTGTGGATGTTGTGAGTGCTGATGATGGTGCGCTTTAACTGCAGCGGCTGCTGCAGCTTGTACCTGAGCTGGGGCTGCTGCAGCTGGTCCAGGGGCCTGGCCCGGTGCCGGGGATGGGAAATACGGCTGCTGCTGCCCCGGGTTTAACATCGCCGCCGCTGCAGCCGCAGCCGCCGCGGCTGCAGCCGCCGAAGAGGCATGCTGCTGCACGGGATGGACCGCAGCTGCAGAGCCGGGGTGCAAGTGATGCTGAGGGTGGTGGTGGTGATGGAGGTGAGGAGGAGGGAGGTGAGGAAGGTGGTGGTGATGGTGGTGGTGGTGACCTGCTGCCGCCGCAGACGTACCGCCATTGTAAGCCGCCATCATTTTTGCGTTGGCTGTTGTGCCACAAAGAGACATTCAAAAAAATGCCCTTTGATTGGATAACAACTGGGTCAAGCTGTCATTTGGCCATAAAAATGAAATCTGCTACACTTTAAAAGACGTTGGGTTTCATCATACACGGCCCACCTTTAAAAACATTGAGCTCGACCGGCCTTATCTCTTCGTGAAGCCAAACAACTTGGAGACTCTCTTCATGTGTGCGTGAGCCAGCGTGCACGAACCCTCTTCCCCCAAGAGTCCAGCTGTGGTTGGCTACTGAAACTCCATCCTCGGGCCACTGGGTTGGGTTGGGTTTGGTTCTGTCCTTCACTTTGTTGTTAGTTTGTTAATGAAATAGAACTGGGGTGCTCAATCCCCCTTCCCCGCAGGAGGAGGGTGCCGAGTCTCTCCCCTGGAACACCCTGAGAGCACTGGCGACTTTACCCCTTCCATTCCCACATCCTCTCCACTTATCGCCTCGGAACCTCCCTGAGCGCCCAGGCACCTCCTACATAGCTCCCTCCTTCAGACACCTGCTCCCTCGAACAGAGAGAAAGAATAAAATAAATCAAACAACTCCGGACTCTGCAACTTTTCCTGGAAGGCCCGAAACAAGCACGGGCGCCCAGGAGAAGTGGTGAGGGGCGAGGAGGGGAGGGCGCGGGGGAGGGCGGGAGGGCAGCGGGCTGGGAAGCAGATAAAAATAGAGGGTGAGGAGAAGGGCCGGGGCAGGGCGGGGAGGGGGCGGGTGACAAATGGATGACAGGGGAGGGCCGGGGGGCGATGGGGGCGGCGGCGGAGCCCTGACAGCCCGACCCGGGGCCGGCGGCGGGCAGCGCCTCAGCGGGGAGCGCGGGCGGCTGCGGGCCCCCCCCCTCGGCGGGGAGGGCGCGGGGCAGCGGGCGAGGGGAGGAAGAGGAGGAAAGGGGGGGGGGTGTCTCCGGTGCGTGCGTGCGGCAGCAGCGGTGGGGGGCGGCGGGCGCGCTGCCGGGCTCTCCTCAGGCCGCTCCGCCCCCCCGCCGCCGCCTCGCCCGCCGCCGGCACTCACCTCCTCACGGAGCCCCAGCGCGGAGCGCACAGCGGGCACGCGCACCCGGCCCGGCCACCCCCCACCCCCCCCCCCCCCGCCCCCATGCGGGGCGCGCGCCCGACACCCGCCCGCAGCCAATCGGACCCGGCCCACCAGGCTCCGCGAGAGCCGCCCCCACCCAATCACCGAGCGGGACCCAGCGCCGCCGGCCCATAGGACTCGGCCGCTGCAGAGACTCCCTGACTCAGTCCCGCCCCCTTGACCCCCACCGCCCAATCACCGCGCGCCTCCGCGCCCAGAGCTAGCGAGACCCCGCGAGATTCCCTCACCTCACACAACCCTCACCTCGGGCGGCCCCGCCTTCTTCACCTCTTCGGCCAATCACATGGTGCCGCTCCGGCCTGCCGGCCAATTAACTCTCCCTCCGAGCCGAGTTCCGCCCCCGAGACCTGCTTTTTGCCCAATCGCAGCTCCCTATCCGACGCGATTAGCCAATGAAGAGAAACGAAAGCCCGAAAAGGGGTTACTGGGCCAATGGTACTCGGAGGCGAGGCGGCGGCGTGACTGGCGGCTCTCCTGGCGAGTGATTGGCGGCGATGGGCGGTAGAGGAGCCGCCGCTCTTCCAATCGCAGCGCGAGGCGCCGCGGGACGGACGAGGAAGTTGCTCGTGCGCCCGTCTGCTGGCGGGCATCTGGCCAATGGGAGGCGGGGAGCCGGCTGATGGGTGGGCATCTGGCCAATGGGAGGCGGGGAGCCGGTTGATGGGCGGCGGGAACAGCCAATAGCGTTGCCGGGGCGGGGTGAGGTAAGGACGCGGCGGGGCAGGGAGGTCACTGTGGGTGCTGAGGGGAGGCGCGGGAAGCGGAGCGGGAGCCGGGCGGGTCCCTGTGCCCGTCCGCCGGCGTGGCGAACCCACTGCCCTGAGCCCGCCCGGGGCCGAGCGCGGGAGGAGGGGCTCGGCTTCCTGAGGTGGAGGTTTCCCTCTCAGCCCCGCTCTGCAGAGGAAGGTGATTGCTGAAGCTGCCCTCGCCACAGGAGCATGCCTAGCTCGGCTAAAGGAAGGCGAATGTGCTTGGAGGCGGGGGGTGGCCTCCAAGTGTTTGGGGGGGGGATGTTGGTTGCGGTTTTGGGGGATTTTCCCTTCAATGTGAAGAGAGAAAGGTAAACCTCGAAGTGTTTACCTTGAAGCACCTTGGGTCTGGAGGAAGCTGAGGGCCTGAGCCGTGTCCGTGGGCTCTAGCAGCAGCAAAAAGAGGTTTAAACCTTTGTAGCATGTAGCCAGCAGTAGGTTCTACGGCCAGGTCTCCTCTAAAGCTGCTTCTCGAAGGCTGTTTATTGTGGCATGCTCAGGACACACAAGAGTTTCGGTTTAAGTGCTGAGTGCACCTTAACCCAGGGCCAGAGTGTTTTTTGTTGATTTAGTTCACTCGCACCATGAATCTGCATGCTTGGGGAACACGGTGTGGCTCCTCAAAGGGTAAGTGCTCCCTAAAACATAGAGATTAATAAAAATCTGACAGGTTTAACACTTTTCCATTTCCTTGTGTGAGCATTAATCCTATCTGATTAATAGTTTTATTTCAGAAGAGAACCTTGCAGTTTTTAGAGCCTTGCCTGTGATGGTGGTAGAGTTAACTGTGATGGGGATAAAGAGGCTCCTGCTTACGCTTAAACTGGCTGAGCAGTTCCAAAGGAAATCAATGGCAGACAGGGAGTGCGGACGTGCCCCTGCCATGAGTGAGGAGACAGCCTTTGCGTCCCTGCCTCTGGTCCCTGTCTGAAAGGGGGGGACAAGACAAGCACAAGTCTAAGTGCAGCGGTGTTGGTGAGGTTTTCCCAGCACCACTGCTGTGATCTGCCTTTGTGTGTGTGTCTCTGAGCATCATTGGCCCCCTATACCACATGGGGCAAAGGAGGCTCCAAGTGTGAACGCCTGTTGCAATTCCTACAACCTGTGTGCAAAATCATTCTTAAGAATGGGGTTTGGGTACTTGTCTGTTCTTTGGTAATGTAAATGAGAAGTCTTGTGGGGATTAAGTCAAGCTTCTGTGTTAAAACAGTTTCTGTTGCATTTCTGTGGGGTTTTAGCTAATATTCTGGTCTGGAATTATAGCAGAGTTTTGCTATCATGTCACAGTTCAAAGAACAGTGACTGCTTAGAAAAGGTAAAGAAGAGTAAATGTGGTGCAGCCATTTTATAATGTGTATTGGACGACGAGACAGAACACTTCTTAGAACTTGTGTTTCTAGCTGCCTGTCTGAAGTTGTTACTGCAGATGATAACAAACTGCTGATATGAATATGGTGTGCACTGAGGATCCTTTTGGACTCTTGTTTCACATCAAGCTCTGGAGAATGGAGGACAATATGGAGTGGGGGACAATGGAAGGAAGTGGATACAAAGTAGGCTGGGTGGGCCTGGCCATAGAGAAGGGCTGTGGGGACTGGAAGGCTTTTAACTCTCCCATGCACTTTCATTATGAATTTGTTTCTTTCTCTGTTATTGCAAAATCTTCCCAAGTAGTAAAATCAAGCAATTGCCTAATAATCATTGTATGGAAACTTGGGTTCTACGTGTGTTTGCAGATTGATGGCTCAGTGGCATTATTCAAGTCCAGGCAGAGTGTCTCAGTAGTATTTTTTCAATTAGGTATGTTACTGAGTTAACTGGATTGCATGTCTTTAAATTACTTCTTTTCAACAGAGTTTAATTTCCACTGGTGGACTTGCTGTGAAAGTCACCTTCAACTGCATGTTGGGAAAAAAAGGAAGAAAGAAATTGTTTATCTTGTTCTTGCCACTGGGCTATGGTTGAATTTGTGGTTGTAAACAAAGCCTTCAGAGATAGGGGGGCAAAGTCAACTTTTTTCTAGCACAAACTGCAAGTCTTGCAGTGACTGCTTCTTTAGAAGGGTTCACAGACGTGGTTTTGGTGGCTAATTTAGGAGCCTAATCTTCTGGAAGCTCCTCATCCTTGAAGGGTAAGGAACTAATGCACTGAAGAGCAGTGTTTAGTATTAAGTAAGGTGGCTTTACCAGGTTATTTTTGCAGTGGATAGGGAATAATTCAGACCTAGGTCTCTGGTAGCATGTTTTAAAGGTCTGTGTTTCTGAGAACCTGTTCTTTCAACTGTTGTGCTGGTGAAAAGGTGGGAATTGGACCTGCTTCTCATTTGTGTTTAAAGCAGCTGTTTACACTTCCTCATGTGCAAACCGGTTGCCAATTAACCTGAGGCAAGTACCAGCTGAAGCTCATCCTGTTTCTTTATCCTCATTCCTTTAAGGAAGGATCAACACAGTGGGGATTGTACTCACATCTTTGCCATGACTGATGTTGCATATGTGCAGCTTTCCACTGCAAGCATCACATGATGCATTACAGTTCTGTGAATGTTGCCTGTATTTTTATGAAAACCAGGCTTCTTTAAAAACATCATACCTCAGGTAAACTGTTGGGAAAGGTTTGTATTGTTTATTGGTGCCCATTTTCTTTATGGCTGCCATCAAAGACCAACCATCTCAAGTTTTTGGATAGAGTTTATCTTTACTAAATCTCAAAGAAGAAAGTAACCGGTTCCATCAGCTCAGACACCCTCAGGCTGACTGACACGGAGTGATCTGGGGTAACTCCTATGGCCAGTGTTTGTGAGTCAGGTTAGTTGCCCAAACCAGCACACTACATTCAGACCAAAGTGTTTCTCCTCACACACCTTAGTCTAAACACTCTTAAGATGTCATTAGAGGTTGCTGTGTAGATGTTTTTTCATCAATGAGAGTAGAATGTGAACTGCGTTGCAGTCCTGGCATTGTCATCAATTTTCCTGACAGTTCTTGACTGGACATTGCAAACCATGTTTTCCAATTGCCATGACTGTAAAATGCAATGAAATCTGGGAGCTGCTTTAGCTTGAGTGAATGCTACAACCATATTGCCCATCTTTTATTTGTTGTTTGAAGTTAAACCAGCTCTTTCCAGTGAGGTGAAAGCCTGGTGGGATGGCAGCTGAAGGGATACGCTTATCTTGCATGTCCATATGGAGTTATGTGAGGTGGTAGTGTTGAATGACCCACCCTAACTTCCTCCTACACTGAGTTTATAAACACTTTTAATTGGTGTCCCTGGCCTCTGTCATGCTGTGAAGCTTAAGACTGTCAGTTCAGCTGTTTTTTGGGCACTTCATGCTATGAAAACTAAGGGGGACAAGATCCAGTTGGTTCATGTTGAGGTATGTTTAAGGAAAAAAATCCTTTTAAAAGAATATTAAGGAAACATGAAACTTGCAGGCAAAGCAGTCAGCTTCTAACAGACCCTTTGTTTCCTCAGTGCAGGTCTGTTCCTTAAGAGCGTTGCCTATTAGTTGTATGAATCACTCCTACTCAGAAGAGGGCTGCAGAATGAATTAGTCGTGTACTACTGTAAGTCAGTGCTTCTGTGCCATTTAGTGCCTCTGCATAAGGAGCATGAGGCTGCTGAGGTGAGCTTATTTCAGAGCTGGCTCATGTAACTTTGAGCAAGAGGAGTATGTTGTGAGTCGTTCAATGAGCTTGAGCCACTTGATGAGCGAGTTGGCAAAATCTAACCATAGTAATTTGAACTGGGCAGGTACAAACACTGCTCCAGAGCCTGCCAAAGCCCAGTCTGATTGCAGCTAATTTGTCATCCCCAGTGATGCATGGAGATACGTGATTGGTGACTATTGCTGATGAAACATGACAGATCAATTCTAATCTCTTACTGGTGAAGACAGTTATTCATGGGGACGTGCATCTGTCTCTTATGATTTTATTCACAGTAAGAGTGCTGTAAAGCAGCAGCAAGTCTGCTGTTTGAGAATGAATGCTGGTATAGCTAGATTTTTCAGGAGCCCTTTGCTAAACTCACTTAAAAAATACATCTAAAACCAAATGCTGTGCATGAGAAACAGGGCACAGGCTTGTCCCTTTATGAAAAATCTACTTAGTCAAGTTTGGTCTTTCCTGACTCGAGAGATTTATTTTCCCCTTGGATTTCTCACTTGCTTTGCAGGGGTGTAATCTTTCTGACAGCACTCTGCATAAGGCCAAGGGATGGAAGTCAATTTTTAATCACCAAGTTCTATTTCTTTGATGCTCCTCAGCAGTGTTTTAACCCTAAAATTCTCTATAGAAGATTGTATC